GCCGCTGTGGCGGCGATGGAGCCGCGGCCAGCTCCGCGGTCGCCTCCGCCTGGCGGGGTGTCTCGGGAGGAGCGCCCCGTCACCATGGCAGCGGTAGAGAGGGCCGTGGAGCGGCGCGTCGGGCGCCTGGTCGCCGAGATGGAGGCGCGCCTAGTGTAGCGCCTCGGCGACTTGCTCGGCGGCGGCGCAGGCGCGGGGGAGGGCGTCTGGGCGTCCGCCGCGTGCCCCCAAGAGGGCCGCGGTGGCGCTCACGGTCGCCCCGGGCAGCTCGACCTCGTATGCGGAGGTCCTGCAAAAGGCGAGGTCCGGCGTCCGCCTGGCGGACGTCGGCATCGCGGACCTCCGCTACTGCAAAAGCCAGACTGGGGCCTCGATACTGGAGGTCCAGGGGCCGGAGAGTGCTGCCCGGGCGGACGCCCTCGCGCGGCGCCTGGACGTGCTGTTCAGCGGGACCGACGTGTGCGTCAGCAGGCCCGTCAGGACCGCCGAGGTGCGGTTGACGGGCCTTGACGTGTCGGTCACCGCGGGGGCCGTATCGGGGGCGGTGGCTGCGGCCGGTGGGTGCACCGCTGCCGAGGTTCGGGTCGACGTCGTTAGACGCAATCGATCCGGCCTCGGCGGGGTGTGGGTAAGGGTCCCCCTGGCCGCGACAAGGAGGCTGACGACCGCCGGACGAGTTCTGGTCGGCTGGTCGTCGGCCAGAGTGGAGGTGCTGGCGGCCCGGCCACTGCGGTGCTTCCGCTGTTTGGAGGAGGGGCACGTCCGCCAAAATTGTCCGAGTGACGCGGACAGGGGCGAGCGGTGCTACTCCTGCGGAGGCACCGGCCATGTGGCCCGGGATTGCGCCGAGGCCCCCAGGTGCCCGGTCTGCGCCGACCTAGGTCGGCCGGCCGGGCATCGTCTGGGCGGCAAGGGCTGCGCACCTCCACCGTCGCGGCGGCGCAAGCGGCGCGGGACTGCAGCGGTGCCGAGCGCGGCTGCGGCCTCGCAGCCGCGGGGAGATCGACCGGTGCAGGCGCCGGTCGATGAGGAGGGACGATCCGGCCGGAGGAGGCCATGGACACGGCCTAGTGTTCATGCCCCCGACTCGGGTCCTCCAGGCCAACCTCAACCACTCGGCCCGGGCTCAGGACTTGTTCCTACATAGCCTGGCCGAGCTTGGTGTGGGGTTGGCGATCGCCGCGGAGCCGTACCGCGTCCCGGACCGCCCGGACTGGGTGGGGGACGCGCACGGCTCCGTGGCAGTGGTGAGCCACGGAGACGTGCCCCACAGCGCCATTGCGCGGGGGCGCGGCTTCGTCGCGGCCCGCTATGGGCGCCTGGCGGTGGTCGGGGTTTACGCTCCACCGAGCATGCCTCTCGCGTCGTTCGAGACGCTGCTGGACCGGATACGGGACGTCGTGTCCCGTGGTCCAGCGCGTCCGACGTTGGTCCTGGGTGACTTCAATGCGATGTCACCCTGTGGGGAAGCCCCGGGACCGACGCGCGGGGGGATGTCGTGCGGGAGTGGGCGGCAGGATTGGACCTCCGGTTGCCCAACCGGGGGTCCGCGAGCACGTGCGTGCGGTGGCAGGGCGAGTCCATTGTGGACTTGTCGTGGGCAACGCCCGCCGCCGCGCGTCTCGTGACGGGGTGGAGGGTGGCGGAGGAGGTGGAATC